TTGGGTTTTCAGATAACGTTATACCCAGTGTCATGGTACCACCCTCGATGTGAGAGAGAGGGAGAGTGCATTGGCGTCGGCTTTGCATTGTTTTCAGCATCTATCGTTCTTTACAGCACTTTGAAAAAAAAGAGTGTTGGGAGAGGGAAGAGAAAAGTACGAATGTCATTAAAGTCGGTTTTCGGGAACGACCCTTTTAAACACCGATTTGCATTAGATGTCTAAAAGGGAACAAAAGCTTGAACTAGATTTCAATTTTTATTGAAGCTGCGGAAACCTTGTAGTATATTTTTATTATTATTCTTGACTTCTGGCCGCAGCCAATTCAAAAATAATTATCTTTTATAGTTTTAGAATAATTTTAGAAGAAGAAGAAGAAGTTTAGAATAATTTTTTTTTTATTAAATCTTCTGGCCTCGATGAAACACATTGGCCTGTGTTCATCAATCCCTTAGACGATTTTATCGGAAGGTTGAAGTGCGGATGTCAAAGAGTTGAATGAAATTGAAATGAAGGAAGTGTTGGCTACGAGAGGACCTCCGTTACCATTACCGCTTGTCCCGGGGTATCGGTCAGTAACGCCAACAGTTTCAGAGTCGATTGATTGACAAACGCTTTCAGAGGCTTGGACGCCTGCATGTAACTCGTGATAGACACTGATTATTCCATGACAACGATTCCAAGCCGAGAGTTCGACATTTCCAGATCAATGCGAAACTGCTCGATACTGATCCCATTAATAGTCAAAAAATTTTTATCCACTCCTGAAACTGACGCTTCTATTAAAAACAATTTACCAAACTTTAGGAAAAACGCCCAAAAAAACCCTCTCGTGCCTATCGCAACTAAAAAGAGAATAGGAAAGGAAAAAAAATATTTGTGTAATTACTGTTGACAGTTGTCAATTGTGGGTGTGCGCACCAATCTTCATGTCAAGACTTGGTATCTAGTTTTGAATAGTGACTCCCCGGAACGAATGTACCGAGTCATCTGTTGGCGTATAGAGTAAAAAGAAAAGAACTAATAAGAAGTTAAAAAAATGTATTCACCGCGCGCAGTGCTTACATTAATGACGCGGCAATATTTTATTAAACATACCGCTATACTTGAAACGCTCTCATGCCAGTGGTTCCAGTGGTTCGCAACCAGTCGGTGCAGGTTTAGGATTTTTTTGAATAGTCGAACAATGTTCGTCGACACGAGAGCCTGGGATAATGACCTCAAATGAGAGAGCCCTGTTTGAATAGTCTCAACTTAGAGAGACAGAGAGGAAGATCGTCATCTTTATAGGTGGATCGTCACCCAGCGCTATTAGACTTCGAAGAGCATCATCATGAATACATCCCAGTGTCTAAAAGGGTCAAAGAACCGATGAATAATAATAATCATCATTATTATTATCTCCTATCTAATGTCATCTATTTGATTAAAATTTTGCGGAAACAAAATATTTAATTTTTTAGGATGCATCAACAGTGAGGTTAAGGATCCTCTTTCCGCTCTGCACCCGAAAGTCAGAGAGGATACTCTCCGTTGAGTTTCCTAGTTTTACAAAATCTTTCCCATTGGGCAAGAATATCGTCAAACATCCGGACACCCAAAATTGACTGGGGTCCTCTTTGGACCAATTTCTTAAATAACGTCTTAAAACCGTTTGTCACTATAGATCATGGAATGAATTCTAGACTAGCTCCGAGACAAAATCCGCTAAAAACCGAGTAGAGTAATGCAGTAGACATCTATTTAGATGGAAAGAATCAAAAAATTACTAATTACAAATCGTGATTCTTGATTGCTAACCGGATGGTCCCGGTCTGTAAAAATATTTACGAAATGGAAATTTTACAAGAAATCCTTTCTTTTTGAAAGTGTTTTGCATAATCTTTTTTTTTGAAGATGATCGGTTGGGTCAAGTTTACGTGTACAGGTTCCAGATGAGAGATTATGTATATATATATATGCACTTAATTAGATCGTTGATACGATGGAATCTATAGCCGAAACTAATACAGAGAAAGTCCTACATGTGTATCAAGTGTAATGTGTGGGTTGGTAGGTGCTTGCTGGTTGGGCAAGGCAAAGGGAATTGCATTGCATGCCACATAATCGTGGGAGTGTTTCCCATCAAGATACACGTAGGTACCGCACTCGCTGTAATACCTTCTCGCATAAATATATCTACACCATGCATTTACGCGCTTAAGGGGTGGTCAAAAAATACCAATTTCAAAAGCGGGATAAAATTCTAAAAGGTTTACAAATTGTTTCACTAATTTACGATTAAAGTACAACCGTACTTTAATTAAGATGATCCGGTGGATCTTCATTTTTTACTTCTGGTTTTACAAAACTCTTGATGGAGTTGACAATTCAGAGTAAAATTTTCAATAATAGGAGGAATCAATGAATTTATTTAGCTGAGGGAAAATAAATTTCACGATAATTGGCAGTTCTAAACAAGGGTGTCTTGAGCGACAGCTGTTACACGATACGAATCGACCACCGGGTATGCAGTACATGCTTGGAGAAAGCTGAAGAGCTGAAACAGCCGATCTAGCAAGCTAAATGTACTTTATGCACCGTGCCCTCGTTTCATCGTTTTATCCGAACAATTAGACACGTGATCTGCATCTACGAGGTGCTTGCGGGAAAAAACTTTGGTTCCTGAATTGAGAGACTATAACTTGTAATAAGATTCTTGCAAAAGTGGAAGTCATTTGCATTCCTAAAATTCTATTTCTCCTTTTGGTAGTCTTTGAAAAAAAAATTGTCATGACTTGAAATTGTAAAAAAAAAATACCTTACAGAGTCTTTGGTTGGTGAGAGTAATTGGAGGAAATGAGGGAACAAGATGTTGGAATGATATGAACAAGGAAATTAAGTCAGTTTCTGAATTGTAAAAGAAACTAGACACTTTTGCTGAAACCATACATGTTGAGTGATATTTTAACGAGTTCTAAGATAACCCGTTGATGGTATCGTGCTGATAACACTCGAGAGCATTACGTTGAAAGCATATAAGAGCATTTCCCGGTATAAATGCGTGAGGATGCTGCACTTAACTCATTACAGATATGATGAGAACGAAACTGGAATTTCAATTTAATTTAATGCCACTTAATAAGGATGGAATAGAAAAGGGAAAATTTAGAGACAGAATTTTTTTTCCATTGTAATCCCAGGCATGTTGGATAATACCAAATAATTCCCCAGTCAGAATTCCAGAGGGAATTCCGCGCAATGTCTTTAATGATTTAGTAGGCAGCCAAAAAGGAGAGTTCACCTGCCTACTGGTATCGAAGACAACACCCTGGTATGTATTTTGATACTCGAAGCGCACACAACACAAGATCGTGCGATTCGAAATCTCGTGTAGAAAAATAAAATAAACGACTGAAAAGTGGAGGTAGGGAAAAAAGGATACAAAGAACCCTAAGAATCGGGACATTAGCATAAGCTAAGCGCGCGTCCATATAGCACGGAAATAAATAGCTTCCCCCGTTCCCGTTTGTGTCTGCCTCTCCCTTTGGATTTTAGCATAGACCCTAAAAACTCTTGGTTTCTTGTACGTGTGGTCCATTGGCGGATTTCGCACACGTTTTACGTTTCCGAGAGGGTGCTCTCAAAATCGGAATGGGGTAGATGGGCCAAAAGATAGTTCCTGAGCTCCATTCGGACAGGATGCGGTTGTCATCGGACTTGGGAGTTAGAGTAGTATTGTCTACCGGCAACAACGGCGATCGCACTAACCAAAATGGAATGTATTGTTCTCGTTCTGTTGGTTTAACCTTGTAGTATCGCCTACTTCGCTGGACGACGACAGCCGTCAGATGCCATCATATCAGTGTTGATTAGACAATCCCAAAGCTTACTCGGTTTACCTAGCAAATAACAATTCCAACCGGATAGTCTTACTGCCTTAGCTACCCTTTCTTCCGACATTGACCCTATCTCCTTTTGATAGTGCCGGCATCTAGAATTTCCATCCGAGCACCGAAGGTCAATACTCCTTTTCGCAACTATCTATTTCTATCATCTTTTCACTATTTCCAACCGATGGAATTAATTACTAATACTCAAAATTACTTATTAATCAACGCTGACTTTTTTTACATAAAATGCCTGAACGTTACCAAAGCCGGAGCGTCACTGAAATTCGAAACAAAAATCCAAAGTATTCTCTGCTCTTCCTGTTATGTAGCAGACTAAAACTAAATTTGTTATTTTAACTATCTATCTACCCCACGAAGTTTGAACCCAATAGGTAGTTCCGTGAGTTGAAGCATAGTCCAGATTAAGACAAGAGCGGTTATTAGTGGGTCGACCAGAACAAAAGGGATTCTTTATCCAGATATCTGAATTCACAGATTTTCCACTTCTGACTACAAAAAAATAATAATATTTGTACAAATTAAAAATCGACACCAAAGTTAAATAAATATCAGTAAAGGGATACAATCTAAAAACTATTGGAATAAATAGACGTCTATTTGAAATAAATTAATTTTTTATTCAACGAAGAGAGAGATACAAATGACTAGCAGTTACTGTACAGAATTAGCCTATAGCCTAATTACAACCAAATTACAACTTCACTACAAAACTAATTGTAATAGAATTTACATACATATCTAGATAAAAAATCTTCTCCATTATCTTTAGAATCAAAAGCAAAGGTCACATTCCTACAAAAAGTGACCCTTTAATCCAAACCTGTTGGCTTCTGACAAGATTCCGGAATAAATTCGTATCGATTTAAAAGTGAAATCATTCTCTCGGAATTGAATTCCTTTGCAATCGGAGGTGCACGACCGAGTCAGGTGGATCAACCGGTTTTTATCGCGTCCTAAATTTTTTACTCCCAAAAATAAAGCAAAAGATCTTCGTTGTCTTTGGAATTCAAAGTTTGCAATTAATAAGCATTGACGTAACGGTATTATATCCATAGAGATTCGTGAAATAGAAATCAATTTTCGGTGAAGCACATGTCAAAATCTTACCTGTGGTGAAGAGGACGATGGCCTTGAGACAGCTGTACTCGGCTGAATCGACATGAAGTGCTTTAAGTTTCTCCACTTGCTCCTGAAAGATCCTGATATGATCCATAAAGGCAACGACACGATCAGCGGCCATTGGTGCTGCATGAAGTCCCGCAGCCGCAAGTAGTGGTGCCACATGTAATGGCATTGAACATTGACTTGCATTCAGTACAAAGAGTTCACTCCAAACTAACCTCAATAATGCAACTTGATCGGTTACTTGGAGATCTGGGAAAAATGGTATATTCCTTGCCCATTCGACAGCGGAGAATAATAATCTTGCCGCTAATTCGCAAATGTTGTCTATTCCCATAATATTGTTTGGCTGCATACATTGGCCGTACCTCGATGTTGGATATGGTTCCGCCCTGAGGAGTAGGCTGATGTAGGACGACAGGTACGAGTGTCCGTTTATACTCGCGCATGCCACTGCGTCACCGTTCGTCAGTGTAAATTGACCCGGTAGTCCTGGAAGTGATGGCTGCGAGGGTGGTACTCGCCCTCTCTGCACGGCTGTAACATAAATTAAAGTATTCTTTTAGATTTTGTACCCAAACTATTCGATTCAGTCAATATAAATTTTAGGACTAAAGGAAAACCTAATCGTAAATACAGGAAGGGATTACGCTTCCTTAAAATAAAGTATAAACATATTTAGGGAAAATATTAAAAATTAACAATAATCGCAGAGACTCAGGCAGAGTAATCAAAAGGGAAATTTCGGGTAAGCATCATTCAGTATCACACAAAATACAAAGTATTATTTTAAACTAAATCCTAATAGAATCCTAATAGAAAAACAGCTAATTTTTTGTCTAGATTTGTCAAGATGACGGTCGTGATTGGTTAAATGATGATGACGGTTGCTATTAATTGAAATACAATGATGACGGTCACTATTGGTCAGAAATCATAGCGATGACGCTTGCTATTGGTTCATTTTCTTCATTCATGTGTCAAGGCTGTCAACGAGTATAGAAAAATATTAAAAGTGAAAAAGTGACAAACACGAGGTAAATAAAATAGAAATAAAGTTTGTTTGTGTGTAATAAGGATAAAAGATTTTATCAACAATTTTGATGTTTCAGCATCATTAAAATTGTTTATTTATCATGAATTATAGATCGTCTTGAATACATTCTCGCCGATAAATCCGAAGTCATATGCAAAGTTCTGTTTTATTAGAAAATTATACCGGTCCGCTATATGGTATAACAGCTAATAAGTGTCAATAACTGTCTCTTCTATTCCCGGGGTGAAATTATTATTGTAGAATCCAAACGGACAGTGAACATCTCTCACTCTCTTATAGGTATAAGAGAGACGTTATGTATATATCGTCTGCAATCCAGTAATGTAATGAAGTTTACGATACGACATTTAAGCGTGCGAGAAACATGCATAGTTCTAAATCGCACTCGCTTATAAGATAAGGTGTGCTATCTACATTTTGTAAGCAAACAATCTTGACGGATGCAACTTAATGCCTTTATCATCAGGTAAATTATTGACTTTGGGGACCACTTGGAGAGCAGGGCGGCGATTGATCATTAAAGTTCTTTTTTTTTTTTGTAGGCATTCCCCTTTCTTTGAGTTCGAAAAAAATTCGCGTAGGTATTAATTTTTGAAGAAAGGATATTATCTTCTAAAAATTTGCTTGTCGTTTTAACTGCTGTGGCTGAGGAAAGCAATTCACTTAGATTTTTAGAACATTACGGAATTACTACCATTATTGTTGGTGGTAGATTTACGGGTATAGCCTTCACTTGTAGAATTTACGATTTTGTTAGTTGATAAATACAATTTTAAAGGACATTGATTGATGACAATTCCATTAATCATAAAAAATAAAAGTAGAGAAAAAAAAATAGAATCGTATTTTGAATATTACTCGCAGGAAATACTCTTATAGGATCAAAAAGTGTTCGAGTTGCAAACAGCGTTTTCCGTGTATCTCTTTCTCTCGAGTCTTTTCGCGAGCATGTTTAAGGTCTCAGGGGGTCCGCGGAGTCGTCGATGCGTGACTGCATCGATAAGCACAATAGAATACAATGCCAGGAGGCTGACAATAAGAAAATTCATTCTTACTCTGGGATTCCCTATTTGAACAAATTCCTCCTTGTTCCTAAAGAAAAAAAACTATTCTTTTTTTTGTTAAAATTTTTTTCCAATGAGGAGTTTTAAAAAAATTAATTTGCGAAAAATTGATTTAAGAAAAATTAATTTTAGGAAAATCAATTTTAGAAAAATTAATTTCTTTAGCAAAAATAATATTTTAATATCCAATTATTAATGACACATGTTAGGCATGGATCATTTGAATGAACTGCGTGAGATAATAACGCGCATTGAATGACGCCTTAGAATCGAAAGGATCAGAAAAGGAAGGAAGCTGTCCCTTGTGTGTGACTGTCTAACAATTGTCGAAGAAATATTTCAGTAAATTGCTTTTCAAGTCATGCTCCTAATAGCGAGTGGGTGTCCATACGCGTGAATACAGTTTTGCACACGTGCGTTCCATAACTATTCCCAGGGACACGTGCATGACTAGGAAGTCTTTAGAGACTCATCCTCTTAAATGAACCATTTATAATTGACATATGCAGAAATATTATTTCAATAAACTATGGGCATTGTTAGGTAAGAATCTTTCAGCAATTGTTGTACTCTACACTTTCTTTTATTTTTGAACTTGTCACCTTTTTAATATGACTATAATTTCCTATTGGATGTCAGCAACATTTGCATTCAGTGTCACTGATTATGAATCTGATGTCAGTTTTTTAAAATTCAAAATGGCGGATCCAATATGGCGGATAAGAAAATTAAAAAATTAGTGGATTCACTTTAAATTCGTCACTCGGGGGTTTTTGGGATCGCTGAATACGAATCCGATGTTAGCTTTTAAGAATTAAAAATGGCGGATCCAATATGTCAGACGATTTTATTGAAAATCGATCCAATTTTCCTTGAAATTGTTACTCGAGGGTTTCAGAGGCCACTGATTACGAATATAAAGTCAAAATTTAAAAATTCAAAATGGCGGATTTAATATGGCGGACGAATATTTAAAAACTCAATGGATTTGCTGAAAAATCGTTAATCGGGGGTTTTAAAGGGCATTTCAAATTTGGAAAATAAGGTTAATTTGGAAATTGTTAAATTATATTTATGTGATCATTGGAGGAAAATTTTTTTTTAGATAAAAACACACACACAAGAGGGATTGAGGTTCTACGAAGGAGGCAATGAATAGGAATGAGGAACTTGACAGAATTAGTGCTTCATTAAAAGGAAACCTATTTGTGGACGTAAATTGCTGTTGAGGTAATTGACAAGCGCGTTGCATCTTTCTTCTTCTTGTTCTTTTTTTTCTGATTTAGAGTCGTGTCTAGGTTCCGACCTCTCAGATTCTTAGGGGGCATATAATACTCTTACAACTCTGGAAGAATAAGTTGAGTCTTGAGAGTCGATACGAGTAGAGGCACCCCGCTGAGACTCATCGCTTGAATTCCAAGCCTCACAGTCCTGCGGCTAACGAAGCAACAAGCAAAACTTTTCCATTCTTCTTTCTCTTTTTTAATTTCTTCCTTTTGATTCTTCCAATTCTTTAACTGTCTGTTTGTCGCAATTTACTATTTTGATTTTCTATTTTAAGTCACTACTCTCGTGATTACTCCATAATCAAAGAAGACGATTTTTCTCCATGAGGGGAAAAAGATTATGCTTTGAAAAGTGGATCTAACGAATCGGGAAAAGTATGATTCGAATTTGAGAAAATTTTCCGTTTAAACTTTCTCGTTCAGACATTTTTTCTTGTATTGAAATGCCAAATGGAATGACAAGAGGCGAAATAAGATAAACTTGTTTCGATTATATGCGGGTGTAAATGTGTCCCAAGATAAAAGAGATATTGAAATGAATCATTGACTCTATGGGTGGAGGTTGTCCTTTCGTTTCGTCACGAATCAATCTTTAGGAAAGTAATATTCGAAATGAGAATGAGAATACACTTTGAGTGCAAAAAAATAGACTGTTAACTAAAACCGTAATTCTCCACTATACACTTTTGCCGTATATGCAAATGGCAGATGGAACGATGCCTCGCGAGAGATAGCCTTTTCGAATGTCTCACCGTTAGACCACATTCTGGATTATATCGAACCTTAGCGCATTGCCTTTATAATAGACTCTCTTTCTCTCTCTCTTAAAAGTGAAGGAGAGAGAAAATAAATAGTTCAATATAAGAAGGGAATTTTCTTCCATTACATTTTGAAACTAGAAAAATAATGCGGAAATCTATTGGAATCTGCCAACAAATTTCAAACCATTGAAATAGTGAAAGGTATTTCACTAACAACTTTATTCATCAGGTGATGGGAGGAAAAATAGTTCCTAGAGTATGGTGTCAACTATATATTTATGTCCTAACAACTTCTTCCAACTTCATTAATTTTACCTTTTATTCGAAATATTTTTTAATTTTATTTAAAAATTTTTGATTTGTGCACGAATCTATACTTTTGGATCGAATTTTCATTAAATCGTTTTGATATAAGTTTGAAGAAAAAACCGGTTTGAATCGACAAACGGAAAGTCGTCAAATTTTACGATATCTGTTTTTATTGGTTTAAAAATGGTACGTGTTTAACGACTCAATTGAGTGGGTTCAAAGTCCTCTTTCGGATAAGTTAAAAACACGATGAAGGTCGTTGTTATTTGGCGTCAAGATGAGATGACACCACCCGCAGAAAGAGGAAAATCGTTCTCGTTAAAATTTCAAAAAGATTCGAAAGAAGGAGCGGTTTTTGATTACAATTATACGAATATGAAGTCAGATTTTTAAAATTCAAAATGTCGGGCTATTGCCAACAAGTTAAAATTACAGAAATTATATGTGATTCGAGGTCGTTGATCACGAATTTGAGGTTAAATTTTAGAAAATCAAATTGATAGGCCTAATATAGAGGAAAATGAAATAGTAACATTAGATTAGTAGTCAGTGACCCTGAAAAACCCCCGAGTAACAAGTGTTAAGCCTTCGTTTTTTAAAACTCAACCGCCATGTTGGATCCGCCATTTTGGATTTTGAAAAGCAGACCTAGAATCCATAATCAGCGATCCTAACAACCCCTTGAGACCCGGGGACTATGAATAGAAGGAAACTTCAGTAGTTGAATTTTGCTCCTTCTCTTCAGAGACTTCGAATAAAAAAAAATCAGTTTGCATCATTATTTCCTTGGTGTTCATTAGGTGCCGCGCCACGATTTGTAATGTTAAACTAACGTTGAAGTTGAATGGGAAAAAAAAATTGTGGAGAATACTGTTGGACGTGCGCTATTGCCGCAGCTATTGCACGAGAAGATCCCAGCTGCAAAGCGCGAGGCGGAGAAGTGAAATTAGCATGATGCAGTTCCCGATAGAGTCGACCCCGGTGCATATGGCGCGAAGCGGAATATCGTGTATACGGTATGCAGATTTGGTACCGTTAACGTTGCACTTACTACCGCGGA